TGGCTGTCCTGGAACTCACTGTGTAGACCAGGCTGGCCTCGAACTCAGAAATCCACCTGCCTCTGCCTCCCAAGTGCTGGGATTAAAGGCGTGCACCACCACCGCCTGGCAAAAAAAAAAGTTTTATTTTTTGTGTGCCACATATGTGAGTGCCCGTGGAGGCCAGTTCTCGGGAACTGGAGTTCCAGGCGGTTGTGAGCTGACTGACATGGGTGCCGGAAACCAAACATCACTTCTTCGGCACCTCCGATACATATTTAACATGGCACTCAAAGATCCAGAGTCTGCTTTGAGCTACCTGTCCCATATTCAGTCTTAGACAAATTTTTTAACTTCCCTAAGGCTTGTTCTCTATAGCAGAATGTTGGGGAGTTATGAACAAATTTATTTTGAGTCTGAATCCCTCTTGCAGGGTAGCCATTACTGTGATTAACAGTGATCACCTTTCCGTGACCCATCTCAAACACCCACCCACCCCCAGGCCCCCTAGAGGCTCAGGTCAGCTTTGCCTCCTGCTGTATTTTCATGTGGGTCTGAGACTCTTTCCTTTTGCACTGGACGAAGCACTTGGTGCACATCTTAGCTCAAGGTCAGCATTAGTGGTACATCTTGGTCCAGGTAGCTCCCTGAGCGTTGGGCCTGGAGAAGGGTTGGAGAAGGGTTCCCTGGTTTTCTGGAGCAGAGCTCCTGGGTGAACTCTCACAGGAACTCTGCACCGTGCCGGGAAGGTGATGCTTAGCCCTCTCTGCCCACACTTGTGGAGGTGAGGGGACTCTGGGTGGCCTTTAGGTGCCTTGAGCTTTTGTTTGAGTGATTCTCTAATCACTCACTGGACTGAACGTTTTAGTGGGAGGATGCCTAGCTGGGGAGCCCTAGGAGTTTACCTAGCCAGCTGTGTCTGCCTCCCCAGCACTGAGGTTACAAGTGAATGCCACCAAACTAGAGTCCCTTGCCCCTGTGTTCAGCTTCACCAGAAGGTCCTCCTGTTGAATGGGGAAAAAGCCTGAAGTTGAATCTGGCCTGTTTCTGCCTCTAGCTGTGAATCCAAGGTCCTTGATATGTTAGGACAATGGTTCTCAACCTGTGGGTCACAGCCCCATCAGAGGTAGCATGCCCCTTTCATAGGGGGCACCTCAACAGTCGAAAAACACAGATGTTTACATTATGAATCATAACAGTAGCAAAATTACAATTATGAAATAACCATGAAAATAATTTTATGGTTGGGGGAGTCAGCATAACATGAGGAAGTAAAGGATCACAGCATTAGCAGGGTTGAAAACCACAATATTAGAATAACAGATGAACTGGGGCCAGATTTAGCCTCTCTCATAGGTAAGGGTACAGGTTCCAGCCACACCAAGATGGGCAGTAATAGCTCTGTCCCTCCAATGTAAAGCTTACACCTTTATCTCTCTAGAAGGTCTTGATATAGCTGCCTCTTTCAGACTCTGAAACCAAACACGGTCACTGCTCACCCCCAGCCCACTGATAGGACAGCTTTGTCCTTGGGGGAGGGGCCCTTCCTGTGATGCTGAACTTCTCAGGGAGCACCCTGTCACCAGGCAGATGAGTTTGGTATCATCATTAGTGGCAGCTTGTGGTTAGAAGCAGGGATTCATCTCCAAACTGCCTTGGTTTGAAGCTTTTTTCTGTTTTCTCTGCTGTGTGACTATAGATGAGTTACTAGACACCCCTGTGCCTCCGTACAGTCATCTATAAAATAAATGGGACAGGATTGTAAAGACAGAATGTGCACTTGGGAGGCAGAGGCAGGCAGATTTCTGAGTTCGAGGCCAGCCTGGTCTACAGAGTGAGTTCCAGGACAGCCAGGGCTACACAGAGAAACCCTGTCTCGAAAATCAAAAAAAGAAAAAAAAAGACAGAGCCAGGCGGTGGTGGCGCACGCCTTTAATCCCAGCACTTGGGAGGCAGAGACAGGCGGATTTCTGAGTTTGAGGCCAGCCTGGTCTACAGAGTGAGTTCCAGGACAGCCAGAAGTACACAGAGAAACCCTGTCTTGAAAAACCAAAAAGAAAAAAAAAGACAGAATGTGTGTATGCACACACACACACACACACACACACACACCCCTACATCTCTGAAGGAACATATCCTTATGGAATTTAGGTGGTCAGAGAGGCAAGTGGAGGGTATTCTTGGAAGACACAGAGGCAGCCTAGTCCATAGGTCTATGCAGAAGATGAAGAAGTCTTTCCCAGGGGTCCTCAAGGCTGGCCTGTGTGTCATGGCTACTGTTTCTTCCACAGGCTCAGCCATCGCCTATTCCGCATACACGTTCCCTGACGCACTGGTCTGCAGTACCTTCCATGAGTGCTACGTAGCCCTGGCTGTGCTGAACACCATTGTCAGCACTGGCCTCTCCTGCTACTCCAGGTACTGGGCATTCTGATCGCAGGCGGGAGATCATGGGAGGACCTAGCAGGCATCTCCATGGGATGGGCGGTTGGGGTCAGCAGAAGAGCGCAACAGAAAAGGCTCCAGGTAGAGCCCCTGTCATGCAGGATATCAGTTACTTTACTCATTGCTAGGACAAAGCACCTGACAAAAGTGACCCAAGGGTTTTCTCTGGCTCACACTTGGTAGGCACATTCCATCAAGGCAGAGAAGTTACAGCAGCCGGGGCGTGTGGCAGAGAGACGGTCTCGCCAGCTAGCTTTATGCTTTCCACTCTCTTCAAGACCCCAGCCTATAGCATGATGTCATCACAGTTAGGGTGGGCCTTTCCACTTTAATTAATTAAATCTAGAAACTTCCTAATAGGCCTACCCCAAGATTTGTCTCCATGGTGACTCTAGATTCTGTCCAGTTGACAGTATCAATTCTCACACTGGACATCATGGGTATCTCTCGGGCAGCCACTGAGCTCTTTGGAAAAGCCCCAGATGTGACCAGAGGCTCTGAAATTCTTCATAACTCAAACAAGAGTGACCTACACTAGAATTGTTTTTATAGACCCTATAAGTTCTACAGATGACTTTATTGCTTAGGCAAATCACTGGGTGTGTTCCTTGAACTTCAATCCTCTCACCTGTACAGTGGGGTCAACACAGCTCCCTTCTGGACAGCAGATTCTAGGTCCTATGCCAAGGATGCCTGGCACAAGCCTGGATAGGGAGGGTTCCTTGTAACCAGGCTGTCCTCCTCTCACAGGGATGGGTGGGTATGGCATCTCTAGGTGCACTGATGAAGGGCATTCAAACGTGGCCATGAGTCATGCCCAGCTCTCTGTCTCTAATCCTGTTATTCTTTTTCCTTTCATGCTAGAGTCTGTGGGGTGGAGTGTAAGCTGCGTTGTCATGGGAATATCTGTGCTAGTTGACACTGCTCTTTACAGGAGTGGACTGCCTAAAAGCACAGGCTTCCTTGGTCACTTTGGAAACCTTCTGAGTGATTGTAGCAAGGTGACAGTCCCATTTACATAGTGCCACCATTCCAGGAAGTGGCAGCTCAGGAGAGGTACTTGGGTTGCCTGTGTGTCCTCTGTACCCCCAACTGTGCTATCCCTTCTCCAGGGGATAGCATGCAGAATAAGGGCTTCCACTTTGGGATGGTTTTTGGTTCCAACTTGCTCTGGGTGACGCCCAGGTTGAGGGGAACAAGCCAAACTGTGTTTTTGTTGGTTTGTTTAATGTGTGTGGGGGAATAGATTTTTATGCAGCATCAGAAAGGTTCACTCCGGTCTTCCCTCCATTTGCCAGAATGTTTGAGAAGGTCTAGAAGCAGGCATGGTTTGCTCTCCCTGGGAGTCAAAGTGTCTCGCTTGGTGTGTCTCACTGAATTTTCTGTGCTGTCATCCCTGGGGAACTGTTCCCTTATCTTCTTGGAAGATGGGAGAGACTCTCTTATTTTCTTGGAAATCACAGAACTCCATGAAAGCTGGGTAGAGCTTGAATCTACCTGTAGAGCCAGGAAATAAAGTCTCTGGTCCTGGATCTCTATGTCCTTCTAATTCCAAGAGGCATTAAACTGTGTGGTATACAGCCTCTGTGCCACGCTGGAAATCTGGGAAATCCACGGATGGTGAGGAGAGGGGTTGGGTCCCCATCCTGGGTAAAGCGAGGTGCATACATGGTCAGAGGCATACTCACAGCACACAGATGCAGTGTGTCTGGCGGTCTTTCCTGTGGCTGCCTGGGCTCCTGAGTAGACCCCTGAATCTGGTCTTTGGGCCAGTTATTGCCCCTGTGTTGTTGGTCCCTAAGCTCCTCATAGCTCTGGTATTCAGAGCTGAGGACCAGAGGGAGCAAACGCTGTGGGTAGTAGGGTAGAGACAGCACATGGGTGTGGAAGATACAGTCCCTATGGTTTGTGGACCAAGACTTCTTTCCCATGAGTGCACAGTGCAGCTTATTAGGATGTTTGCAATCTTTTAAATTAAGTTTTTAAAGCTCCTGACTACCTGTTACCACCAGGATACATTGCTTTATTTTAGCCCACACTCCACCCCTCCCACAACCAGGTCCAGCAGTACGTGTTGTGTATTCAGCATGCCTGTTGTATTTGGATGAAGGCATGTGGCACGGATCCAGGAATGTCTTGTGACCCCGTTTGGGGCTTCCTCTCCTTGACTACAACATAGTTTGTTTCTGCTGATCCAGAGAGTACATCTGGGCTACTGTCTCGGCTCACCTAACCAGCATTCCTCACAGGCCGCCTGGGCTCTGGGGATCCGTGTGAAAAGTCTGACACAGTTGGTAGAGTAAGGTCGTGCCTTCCTTCAGAGGGTTCCAGGAACAGGAAAGGGAGGATGTGCACATGCATGCACACACACGAATGCACAGACAGACACACCGAAGAGAGGGAACTGCTACTGCCCTGTGGAGCAGGACCAAGGGAAACAGGTCATGTCAATGACACGCACTTAGACACACGGGGCTCTGACAGGTTGCCTTTGGACCAAGAGGGAGCAAATTGCCAAGATTACTGACTCAACCTAGTCTAAAGAGAGGCTTCTTCCCAAACCCAGTGTTTTCTTGCAATTGCTTCGCAAGCAGAGCTCTCAATCCTCAAGCCAGCAGTGGTTGACACTGTGGCTGAGTGCTTCGGTGGCATCTCAGGCCAGAGCTGCTACCTGCAGGAATCTCTGGCTGTGGCGACATCCTGTGGTTAGATGTGGAATTGCACCTTGAGGCTCAGCCTCTCTTCTGTGGTTTGGACTTTTTTTGTTTTGGGGGGTTTGTTTGTTTGTTTGTTTGTTTGTTTTTAGCCTCTGTTTCTTTCTCTCTTCTATTCTGCTTCTTATATTTTTTTGTCCCCTGTAGGCCCAACTTTAGTGCTGGAGTGGCTGATTCATTTGCCTCCTGGGGAAGCACTTTTTCAGGCCAGGTGACAAGTCACAGGAAACCCAGGCTTTGGGGCACAGCCCTCAACAAGTCAGAGCCAGATTTTCTTTATGTGTAAGTGGCCAGCCACAAGGAGCATAGTAGTGAGCCTGTTCCAGACATGGCAGATACATAACCGCCCTGTTGCAGTTGGACAACTTCTGCTGGGGTTATGGGCCCCTGAGGGAAGAAAGACAGAGGCTGGGCCGTCAGGGGCAGGCTGGGGCACTTAGGCCAAACCCTAGCTGTGTCTGTTCTCAGCTCCTCCTTAAACCCTCCACTCAGAACCTGTCTTCTCTTGTTCTTACCTTCTGCTTCAGCATAGCTGTGAGACGAATGGAGAGAGGTTTGTTTTCTGAGCAACATTAGTAGCTGGGCTGTGTGTGGCTCTAAGGGTGGTGGCACCTCATTTCTTCAAGTCATTACAACAACACTATGAGGGAGGGACAGGTCAAACACAGCTTTAGAGGCAATCTGCCAGAGCAGCATGATCCTGACGCGTCCAGGCTGCACTGGAATCTGGTGTGTCCCTGTGATGCCACAGTGCCAATGCCTCTTCCCCAGTGTTGTAATCAAGAAGGTAATTGGGTTTTTGTTTGTTTGTTTCTATTTTTATTTTATTTATATGAGTACACTGTAGCTACCTTCAGACACACCAGAAGAAGGCATCGGATCCCGTTACAGATGGTTGTGAGCTACCATGTGGTTGCTGGGAATTGAACTCAGGACCTCTAGAAGTCAGTGCTCTTAACTGCTAAACCATCTCTCCAGCACTTGTTTGGATTCTTGGATTCAGGGTCTCCTGTAGACCAGGCTGACTTCAAATTCACTATATAAAATATATTAAAAAATGACCTTGAGAGGGCTGTGGTTAAGAACAATGACTGCTCTTCCAGAGGTCCTGAGTCCAATTCCCAGCAACCCCATGGTGACTCACAACCATCTGTAATGAGAACCGATGCCCTCTTCTGGTGTGTCTGAAGACAGCTACAGTGCACTCATGTATATAAAATAAATAAATCCATGTTAAAAACATGGCCTTGAACTTCTGATCCACCTGCCTTGACCTCCAATTATTGGAATCACAAGCACGTGTCACCTTGTCTGGTTTATGACGATGGGGATGGAACCCAAGGCGTCCTTCATGTTAGCCTGGTACTCTACTAGCTGAGCTACGTCTCCAGCCCAGAGCTGCAGCTTTGTGTGGGGTCTCCTTGCTCAACACTGACCTCCTGGTAGCCAGCCTGGGTGTCTGTACTGCTGAAGGTTTAAAGCTATTGCTCCTCTCTAGGTCCCCAGTGGTAACAAATCTAGAAGGTTCCTGCCTCTTGCTTCTAAACAGTCAGCTCAATGGATTCCTTTTGGATTCTGTCTTTGCATTGGAGTGTATTGGGAGAGCTCATGGAAGAAAGAGAGACCCTTTGCATATTCACTTTCCCCAGGCCAGTGTTCCTGTGCATGGTATAGATATTCTAGAAACTTCTCTGGGTTATCTGGCACCCCCTTGAACCCAGTTCTTTGTGTGGCCTGGCCATCCCCTGGATGGTCCAGTTGCTTGGGTGCATCTCTGCTTCTGTAGAATGTGAGACCTTGGGTCGTGTTTGAGGTCACTTCTTGTCTCAGTGGTGTCAACCTCCTAAAACTTCTCTGCTGTTCAGTCCCCTCTGCCTTTCGCAGGGTGTCTGCCTGAACCCCATCCTCCCTCGTCTCGGTTTGCACACCACCGCATTTCATGCTCTTAGAGCAAGCTTCTCCTTCTTCTCTGAGGTCTTGTCATTTCCATCAGTGCAGGAGGAATGAGAAAGGCTCGTGGAAAAGCTGTGGCCCACGGGAGACTGTAAAAATGCTTGTCCTCTGTTGATGACCCATGTGTAGACATATGAGGGCCTGAGAAGTTTCCAATTCCTCCCTGACTGCAGGTTTCTTGAACTTCAGAAGCCCCGGCTCTGCAAGCTGCTCCGGGTCCTGGCCTTTGCCTACCCCTACGCTTGGGACTCACTCCCCATCTTCTACAGGGTAAGGACATGGCGCTTCATCTCCTCTCCTGTCAGCAGTGCCCAGGGGATGGTTTCCTGAGCTCTGAGGGAGTCATAACACCCTGGTGGGCCCTGGCGGGACCCATAGGAGTTGGGTTCTGTGGTTAGTTAGAGATAGTCTGAACACAGAGGTCCTTGGAGACAAACTGACTAAGGCCTTAGGAACAACCACGGAGAACTGAACAAGGCTTGCAGTCTGGGGATTGGTGAACATCAGTGCCAGCTTGGGGGCGGGAGGAGAGACCAATACATGCATGACTGTATAGCATCAGTAGTGTAGTGTGTCAGTGAAGGAAAGGTGGGGATGGAAGTCTTAAAGGTGACATGAGAAAGAGGCAGAAAGGACCAGGGAGGGGAGCTGAGGTGAGATAACAAACGTGACAAGAAGGGGAAAGACCCTCACGTGTAGGTCACGTGGGTTCAAATCCTAGTCTCCATGGTTACCTGTGGTGGGATTTAGGCAGTAAACATAACCTTTCTGAGCCTAAGTTTCCTCATTGGTTATGAAGCTAGCATCTGCTTCTGCATAGGAGGGAATGAGGATTCCTGGATATAATGTATCTTACGGGTTCAGCATTATATCCAGATGTGAGGCCCAAATGGCAAGGGCTTGGGGCACAGGGCAGCGAGGAGTTTGCCTGCTACCTTTTGGGACACAGTAGGTGTTTTCTCTGTAAGTCCTTTGAGTGGGTCTACAGAAGACTTGGGGATGGGTGTGCAGCTCACTGCTCTCAGTCCTTGGAGTTTGTGCAGACACACACAGGGAACAACAGCTGAGGGCCATTGTCACTTACATGCAGATTTCATGCACTGTGATGTGTCCCTATATGGGACAGCAGGGCAGAGGGGCAGGAGGTGGCAGCATTAATAGCAGAATTGTTCTGGCATCATTCCAACCCTCATCTCCCTGCTTATTGGTGGCTTGCAAGTCAATCTCAGGCTCACTTTCCTTGCGTGAAATTCAGAGATCGAGTCCACCTTAAGGTCCCTACTGAAGCTCAGATGGGGCAGGCATGTAGATGGCTAGCCTGGTGAATGGTTCCTCATAGTAGGGGAAGCTACTTTTGTTAGTTATAAAAATAACACAAAACTTCTGCTTAACCTTGAAGCGATATAATGGTCATACACGGAGGGGTGGTTGATGCTGGGGATGGAGCCTAAGGTCTTTCTATCTCAGAGCTGTATCATCAACCACTTATTGGTTGGTTGGTTTGGAGACAGGATCTCACTAAGTTGCTCAAGCTGACTTTCAACTAGCTCCATGGCCTAAGTGGGCCTTGAATTTCCACATGATTTTTAAAGATTTATTTATTTTATGTATATGAGTACACTGTTGCTGTCTTCAGACACACCAGAAGAGGGCATCTGATCCCATTACAGATGGTTGTGAGCCACCATGTGGTTGCTGGGAACTGAACCCAGGACCTCTGGAAGAGCAGTCAGTGCTCTTAACCGCTGAGCCACCTCACCAGCCCGGACTTCAAATATTTTTGCCTTAGGGAGTGAATCCAAGCTTGAGTTACCAAGCTAGGCCAAATAGTGATCCTTTTTGATGATGCAGAAAGGCTTCCAAGTCTTTTTTTTTTTAGGAGTTTTTTTTTCTATTACATTTGTAGTATCTGGTCTGCTTGTTGTGGCCATTTTGCCAGCTTGCCTTCTAAGCCTTGAAGCCTTCATTACGAGCCTCAGTTCTGTATTGTAGCTGGGCATCTAGAGTCAGGTGCAAATAGGACTGTTCTACAATGCCTGCATTTTATCCCCTAGAGAGAGCAGCAATATCTAGTAGGGTTTTCTATCTCTCCCTCCCTCCCTCTCTCCCTCCTCTCTCCCTCCCCGCCCCCCTTCTCTGTGTCTCTTTCCTCAACTCTTTCTGTCCTCTTCCTGTTTCCCCTTATTCCCTCTGGAGTTAATGTTGTTGTGCTGAGAGGTATGGCCCTGGCTTTTTCTCAAGACCATCTGTTCTTTCAAACACCCGCAGCTCTTCCTGTTCCCAGGGGAGAGTTCAAGAAATGAAGCCATGTTGTACCACCAGAAGCACATGGTCATGACGCTCCTGGCCTCTTTCTTGTACTCTGCTCACCTGCCAGAGCGACTGGCTCCAGGACGCTTTGACTACATCGGTGAGTGTGGCAGGGCAGGGGTGGAGGTGACTGTCTCAGATGGGGGTGGAAACATCCTGCCGATGTGCATGTAGCCACATGGCAGGGGACCTGGAGAGGAGTGACCCCAAAGAGTGTCATCAGGCAGAGGCTTTGGCGAGTGACAGATACAGTGACCTACCTTATACCTTGATTGAAGTCATCTTTTGTGTGGCTACCGCACAGCAGGGGACATGGAGGAGGGGAACAGGTAGGGATTTCAGTGAGCAACCATCCCATTGGCACCTAGAGTCTGACTTCCCAGCATAACATGGACATGGGGGACAGACACAGGGAGGAGGAAGATGGGTTTGCAGGTGACACTGAAGGCGGCAGACAGCCGTGCAGAAGAGAAAGTCTATTTTAAACATGGTGAGTGGAGGGCCTGGGGGTCATGTGGAACTGTGGTTCCCAGCTGTATCTCTCACCAACACCAGCAACAGAAGGGCCTGAGACTGCAACTTCCAGGCCCAACCTCAGATCTCCTGACCCAGGAACTCCAAAGCAGTGGTGAGGCCAGCATTCAGAGTGTGACTCCGTAGGGAGCCCAAGCTAACCGACTCAGGAGAGATGTCAGAGCACAGGAGCTCCTAGATGCTGCTGCAATGTTCCCTCCTCCTTTCTCTAGCGGAGGTTGGGGGGGGGGGACTTTCCCACCTGTCTCTGACACTGGCTGGTAGGAAGGTACCTGCGTTCATTACTCTTCTGTTGCTGTGACCATGAACTCAGGGGTTTATTTTGGATTATGCTTTGAAGGTACGACCCATCAGGAAAGGGAAGGTGTGGTGGCACAGCATGAGGCAGTGGGTCGCATTGTGTCCACAGTCAGGAAGCAGAGATGAATGCTAGTACTTGGCTCCTATTTGCCACGTTTGGTCCAGGCCCCTGGCCCATGAAATGGCCGTTTTTCAGCTAAACCATAGAAACTCTCATAGACATACACAGAGGTCTGTCTCCTGGGTGTTTCTAGAGACTGTGAAATTGACAATATTAGCCACCGCAGCACCCTTGGGTGCCTTCTGTAGAGGGTGACAAGCCTTTGACCCAAGAGTTCCTTAACTAGATACAGGAGGCTCACAAGGCCAGTTGCTGACCCCAGCACAGCAAGTACCTAGGTCCCCACCAAGCCACCTTGTCCCTGCCTGGAGGCTCCTCTCCACATGCTTCAGAGATGGAGTCAGATAGGTTTTGTGTGATCTGATCAGTCTCCGCCTCTTCTTCATCCTATCAGAAGGGACTTCAGCTGGCAAAACTCTGAGTGCTTCTTCTACAGAACAGTCAGAGGTTAGGAACTAGAGGCCCCAGGTCTCTGCCTACACACTACAACCCCACCTTAAGGAAGGCAGAGCTGTGGATGAGGGGTTGGGGACCCAGGGAGCAGGCAGGGGTGTGGCAAATACTGGTCACTCTGCCTTCTCCACATTTTTTAGTCACTTCAATCCTGTCCTCTCAGGCCTAAAGGTACACAGCAGAAAAATGCCTTGGTAATAGGGAGGGTACTTGCCAGGCCTGGTTATCCCTGCCCTACAGGAAGCCCTGAGACTTGGTAAGTGGGATATTCAAAAACACACTTCCTGCTGTGGCCCATTCAGATGCACCCATTGCTGGTGGCACATCTCTTGCTCATCTCTCTCATGGAAACAGGTTTAGTGGATGCAGTGGATCAGGGTTGTGTTTAGCACTGTGCCACAACTGCAGCAGAGGTCATGTGCCTGCATCACACACATATTTGGAGTTGGGTACTGCCTGTGCTTTGAACTTGAGTAAGGCTGGGTGCCACTTACCTTCCTGGGACAGAGGCTGGGGCGGGAGGAAAATGCAGGCATGCTTGCCAATTTCCAACCATCCTGATTCAGCTCCTGCCTGAGAAGGAGGTGGGGTGGCCAGGTGCCCCTCCCCTGCAGCATGGTTGTTGAATACTTCTGAAATGGGTTTTGTGGTACCATAGAGGACTTACTAACACATTTTTTTTTTTCTGAGACAAGGGTTTCTCTGTGTAGTCCTGGCTGTCCTGGAATTCACTCTGTAGACCAGGCTGGCCTTGAACTCAATAATCTGCCTGCCTCTGCCTCCCAAGTGCTGGTATTAAAGGCGTGCGCCACCACCGCCTGGCTGTCCATATACCTTTTGACTGATGATTCCTTAGCACTAAATTTATATACATGTATACATATGGGCGTGCACAAGCCATGACATTCAAGGATCAGGGGACAATAGTGGGACTGGATCCTCTCCTAAGGGTCCCAGGGGTGGCGCTCAGATTATCAGGCTTGGCAGTGGGAGTCTTCACCCACTGAGCCGTTTCTCTGGTTCTGACTGGTAATCTTGATGGCCTTTTCTGTTTATTCCAGGCCACAGTCACCAGCTGTTTCACGTGTGTGTCATCCTGGCCACACACTTGCAGATGGAAGCCATCCTTCTGGACAAGACCCTGAGGAAGGAGTGGCTGTTGGCCACCTCCAGACCCTTCTCTTTGCCTCAGATAGCAGCAGCCTTGCTTCTGTGCATCATCTTCAGCCTCAGTAACATTATTTATTTCTCAGCTGCCCTGTACCGGATCCCTGAGTCTGAATTACATGAAAAGGAAACGTGATTTCGGGATGTGCCAAGCTTCGGCGTTAAGCAGTTGGTGTGGTGCTGGCTTACAGTGGCCAAAAGCATTCGTAGCAAGTGATGACATGTTTTAATGGGTTCATATCAAAAAAGGATTTAACTGGGCAGAGCTTTCTACGCATGCACGGATTCTGTATGTGTTCTGTAACAGGAAGCATGTGGGCCTAAGTCCTGGATAAGGATAACTATTAAGTTTTAAATTTATTTAAAACGGGGTGTTTAGGGACTGGGGGTGTAGCTCAGTTGGTAAATACTTGTCTAGAATATACACAGCCCTGTTTTTGTTTCTTTATTTTGGGCTGTTTGTTTGTTTGAGACAGAGTCTCACTATGTAGCTAAGATGTCCTAAAATTTACTATGTAGATCAGGCTGGCTTTGAACTCACAGAGAGAGATCTGCCTGCCTCTGACTCCTGAGTGCTGGGATTAAAGGCATGTGCCACCACACTGAAGCCCTGGTTTAGATCCTCAGCACAGCAGAACTTGGTCCTGTGGCTCAGGCCTATGATTCAACAGGGAAGCAGAGTCAGAGGATCAGAAGTTTAAACCCATCCTTGCATACATGAGATTGCATCTCTAAAAATATAGTTCCCGATCCTGTTTCTACAGTCATATTAAGCACACTGCCCCGCCTCTCTAGTTTTTTATTGATGTTTAAAAACATTAGAAGCTATGTTTGATGAATTTTGTATAGCTAAGCTTTTCCCCCAGATGAGTGAGATGGTTCAATGAGTTAAGAAGCTTGCTGCCAAGTCTGACAACAGGAGTTTGAGCCCCAGGACCTGCTGCAAAGTATTCCACAGTACAGATAAGACGCGATGGCCTCTGGAGCTAAGTGATGTCATCCTGACCGTTAGGGCTCCCTGTCTCCTTTTCAAGCAATGGAAGGAGCCGTCTTTGGAGATATCACATGCCTGACACTGTGTTGGCATGCCAGTATGCTGCCAGACTTGGTATTTATGCAGAGGGTGTTGACCTCACCAGTCGGACAGTCAAATGTCCTGTCTTCAACCTTTCCTGTGAAGTAGAAACACAGGTAAGCTTGTGACATGCATTTCCTGGGGTAAACTAGGGGTTCTGCTTTCCTACATTAAATGTGGGTTTCTGTAGAAGAAATGTAGACAGGAACACGTCCACAAAATTCCAGCACAGGAGAGCAGGGGCAGATGCTGAAGACATTCGTGGCATCTTTCATTTACAACTTAATCAAAGTTCCAGCAACTTGCCATCTACATGTGTGTCCCTGTTTTCTCTCCAGAGTCTTCTACTATTGATATTTTTTAATTGGTTAAATGAAAATGAAGTCTCATGGGTTAAACCCTAGACTGAAAAGTATGTAAAGCCAGGAGACTTGAAGGAGAGACTCTGGACGTGTATGCTGATTTTACAACACCAGCGTCTTATGTGCAGATGAAATGTGGTCAGCCAGCCTCTCGACTGCTGGGCCAGCCTCAGGATTTGTGCCTTCCCTACCATGATGGATGCCAATATGCCTTCTTAACGATAAGCCCAGCTAAACCCCTTCTTAAAAAATAAACAACAAAAATCACAAAATAAAACTGTAAGAACAACAAAAACCCCAAAGCCAACTCTGCTAAGGGCCATAGCCTTGTGCCACAGTCCCTTCAGCCTTACACGGAAAACACTGGTGCAGGGGCATCTCATCATAGCTGCCTGTCCATCCTTGGACCAACGTTTGGTTATTGATGCTTATAACCAAACACTGCTGTGTGCTTATACAACATAGCATCTTCCTCATTGTGCCTTAAAAATAGCATCCTATAGGGGTAGAGATGGCAAGACGTGCAGGCATCAAGGTGAGTTCAGCCCACACATACACCATGGAAACCTAAGAGTGCCTGTGTGTACCTGTAACTCAGCTCTGGGAACAAAGATAGGCAGGAGCTGGGAGCTCACTGGCCAGGTATCCAAACAGAGCAGTGTAGTGAGAGGTCCTGTCTCAGCAAGGTGGGGGAGCAATGGAGGCAGACATTCCGACACCAGCCTCTGGTCCCATGTGCATCAGCTCGAGTGTGTCCAGGCACTCACCCTTGCCTGGTCTCTGTATGTACACTTCATCAGCCGTTACAGTGCTGTTCTGGATTAGTTTGTTGTCTTTGGAGAAACTCTGTTAAGTTCATGATACCAAACATGGCAATCCTTTGTTTGTTGCATCTGTAATTAAAGTTTAGCATTTTATAGTGTTTTTGGGGAGTTCAGAAATGCTGATACAAAACAAACTTGAATAGAGGCCCACCAGCCTCTGATCTGCACCTGGTAATAACTTTGGGGGGCTGTCCATCACAATGCTGGATCCTCTTTGCTGACTCTGCAATATCCTCTGTTGACCAAACCCGCTCAGTCAGTCAACAGGTTCTCCAGCGCAGGAGTGAGGAGTGAAGAAAAGAGACAGTTAGACAAAATTGCAGCATGACTCCAGCCAGTTCTGAGGCTGAAGGCAGGTTCGTTTAATTCAACTTTTCTTTGAAACCCTTTTAATTACATGCAAGTATTTAGGTCAGTTCTAGATTGAGGAACCAACAATACAATAGATACAAACAGTCAAGGAACAAACATGGCTATATACAGAATCCCGTGATCACTCTCATGATCAATGGTTCTAAGGTCTCATCAGGATGACAAAATATCTGAGCCTACTTCCCTGTCCTAGCCCACAGTCATATTCATGCCTGAGGCTTACCTCTTTGTTTTAGCCTAAGACTAGGATTCCTGACTGAATTTACTTCTCCATTGTAGCCTAGAAATAGACTCCTGCCTGAACTTACTTCCTTGTCATGGCCCAAAGTCATATTCTTGTCTAAAGCCCAATTCCTTGTCCTTGGTCAAGGTCAGATTCCTGCCAAGCAGCCCCAATGGCTTCCCACACTGTCCTATAACACACCCTCTAGAATTAAGCAGCTCAGCCTTGTCAGTGACCTTGCCAGCAGCCCACAGCCTCGCCTCTAATGACAAGGACCAATATATTTTGGATATGAGTGGTCAAGAAATAAAGTTTCATTATTTTATTTTATTTTATTTTATTTTTGGTTTTTCGAGGCAGGGTATCTCTGTGTAGCCCTGGCTGTCCTGGAACTCACTGTATAGACCAGGCTGGCCTCGAAGGTTTCATTATTTTATTATCAGTTACCTTCCCCTGGGGAAGGGACAGTAAGTGGTACAATTATATAGGGTGTTAAATTTCTGATACATTAATGGAAAATGCCTAACAAATTTTGTTCTTTAGCAACAATCTGACACTATCAGCGACATCCCCATCTACTGCCCATTCCCACAGCCCCAATTTTATATTGTGTCGGGGGGGTATAAAATTGGGCTGGGCGTGTGGCTCAGTTGGTAGAGTTTTTGCTTGGCATGCATGAAGCCCTTGGCTTTAATACTAAGCACTGCATAAATGGCATGATGTAAAGAGGTCAGCTCAGGAACTTTGAAAAGGTCATAAGACATTTACTAAAAAGGAAAGGCTTGTTAACATCCCTTAGACCACAGGGGAGGAAACCCACCTGCGGGTCGAGAAGGCCCAGGGCACATAGACACATTCCATAGGACAGACCATCCCTTGCCACCTACAGACAAGGGAAGTCCTTGCCACCTCATTCTCTAAAGACCAATCAGTTTAAAAAGTCACATGGTTCTGCCAATCACATTGTGTCTAATGGCTGCTGCCCTAAAAACTATATAAAATGGGCTGCCCGGGATTGCCACCTCTCCTTCAGGTGCAGTATAACCCCAACTTGTTGGAACAATAAATTCCTCTTGCTTTTTGCATCGATTCCTGGCTCTGCTTGGTTCACTAAGGGGGTCCCCAGTAAGCTAAGGTTCACCAGAGTTTTATAGCTGTACACGCCTATGATCTCAGCATTTGGGTTATGGGGACAGGAGGATCAGGCCATGGTCAGCTCCTTAGTGAATTCAAGGCCAGTCTGAGATTCTTTACGTAATTAACAGTGATCATTCTAGTTCATTGGTCCTCAACTGGTGGGTCATGACCCCATTGCAGGTCAAATGTCCCTCTTACAGGGATTCCCCAAGACCATTGGAAAAACAATACCAAAAACAGTAGGTGTAGGGCTGACACTCTGGAAAAGATGTGAGGGAACCCTTCTAGGCCTGCCTTTGTGGGCCAACTGCTGGCTGGGCAGATAAGTAGGGACAAAGAGAATCTCTGCCAAGGGAACAGACCTAGGGAGCTGGGAGAAAAGTAGCCCAGAGAATTGCATGGCCACTTTGATAAGCCCATAGCTCTGGGGAGGCTTCAAGGGGCCACAGGAGCCAGACTGGCTGGTGAGTAGTGGGCAGACATGTTGGGCCTTGGGGCTAGCAAGGGTTGTCTTACTGGAAGGAGTAAGGCCAGTCTGTCCAGATATGTCCAAGGTCATTCTAGAAGACAGAGACTAATTCTGAAACCACTCCCAATTTTTCTCCCAATCGGCTGCCCCAGGGCTTTCCCGAGCTGCTTTGCATGGAATGTGTGGAGTTGGGTAATAAAGCACCTCAGGCAGGCAATTATCAGCTGCTATCTTGTCTAAGCATCAGCTTTCTAGATCTGGCTCTGCTTCAGCCTCCTTGAAGAGTAGATGAGAAGGAGCTCAAAGACACCTTAGTGCACCCTGTCTAAAGTTGTCCAACCGTGGAAACGAACACAGGGAGGCCTAAGCATGCTGACATATAAGATGCAAGGGGGAGAGGCGCTGGATACTTGGCTATTCAGACAAGTCCTCAGGTGCTCCCCCACCTGATGCTGAGAATGGAACCTGGGACCCTATGCATAGGATTCACCCAGTGCAAAACTTAAACTCACCATTAGACCTCCCAAGAGAGAGAGAAAAATGTCCTGGGGAATGAACTCAGGCTTGGAGTCAAGCATCCTTACTGGCTTATCCAGCTCACTGGCTCCAATCCTACTTTTTAAATGAAAAAACAAAAACATAATTTTGGATTCAGAAATATACTGCAAAATATTAGAAACATTTCCAGTTCCTGGCCCCTTCTGCAGTAGTGGGAGATTTGCTCTCAACAGCCAGTTAGCCAGGATGTGTTTTCTGACTTGCTCAGTCCTTGAGTGTGGGGCATGTTTCACAGTAAGCCATGCCAGGGTGAGAAATGGTGTCATAACTTTGCTGTGTCTCAGTTTCCTTCTATCTCGAATAGTCTAATTGTCTAACCCACCAGAGTTGCGGGAGATATTTAAATCGGCTGCATCCAATCTGGCTTTTCTAAATCAGCCGCCATTTCCCGACTAGCCTAGGCCTTTGGTCACAAGTGGAGGTGGCCAGAGACACTGGCATGGGAGATGGCTCTGCCAATCTTCATGCTATCTCCACAAAGTTGGGCTGTGCCCAGACCATCCTGCCATCCACGAAGGCCTGGTAGGAAATGAGACTGTAAAGCTTAAATATTAATCAAAGGCTTTATATATTTGGTAATGCTCAATAACAATATGCCCACATAATTATAGATGTTTCCTAATTAAGTAACCTAGATAAGTTGTTACCCAGGACTGCTCTCGGTACCTGTGTGGCTCTTCATCCTCCATCTCTCTCTCTCTCTCCAGCTCTTCCTCCTCCTCTTCTCCTTACTCCTCCCACCTTAGCTCCTTCCAACTTGCAGGGAAATTTTCCCACTACAAACCAGTTCTTAATCTGTTGGTTTTGACCCCTTTAGAGGGTCAAACAACCCTTTCACAGAGTTTACCAAAGACCATTGGAAAACATAGATATTTACATTATGATTCATAATAGCAAAATTCCAGTTATGAAGTATCAATGAAAATAATTTTATGGCTGGGGGTCACAACATGAGGAACTGTATTAAAGGGTTACAGCATTTGGAAGGTTGAGAACCACTGCTCTAAGCAGTCTAAACTACTGGGATAATTCTACTTTCTCTGTATGCTATTCATTTGAAACGTGCCTTACAAGTCTATATTCATTCCATGTGGGTTTATTATACAGGCCCATCTTCGTGCTCTTGGTTCAGGAGCACATAAAAGATAAATACCTAGCCTTTCACACTGTACAGAAGCCTAGGAACGGAAAACAGTGTTTCCAAGGAGATGATAAACAGCCAGTCATGGTGACTGAGGTGTGTGGAATGGGGTCTGAGTTACAGAACAGCCCGGTCTCCATTTTATCTCCTCGCACACCTGAGCTTCAGCAGGTGCTCTTCAGTGGAATTTCTAGGCTTCCCACAGCTGGACTTGCTTCTCTGGGTGTTTTAGCTACTTGTAGTTAACTATCACACTGTGTTTTGGAACAAAATATGGTTTTAGGCACCTGTAGTGCCAGTCCCCTTTTAATGATCTGCATAAGACCTTCTTGTCCAGAAATTAAAGGTATAAGTACCAGACCCACAGTCTACCCAAGAGACAGAAAAGTGTGTGTGTGCATGTGTGTGTGTGAATACACACTTTTATGCAAGTTACAGCTTTCATAACTACCCAAATGAGGAACACCAGTCCCTACCAGCTAAGGACTAGATGAACCTTTAAGCGTTCATACAATGCTATTTGGAAATGACAAGGTACAAACTTGTGGCATCTGCAAAGCAGGGATAAATTTCAAAACCTCCTGCTGGACGGAAGAGGAGACTGGAAAAGTCAAACATCAGGGAGGGGAATCAGACAAGCAGTTGCCAAGAGATGGGGGCGAGGGTCTGATGAGGAAGGGGCAGCAAAGGATACATTTGTGAAATAGAAACTATACCTCAAATTTGACATTTTTCTTCATTTTTTTGGACAGTTTTTCTATGTAGTCCTGTGACCAAGCCCGCTCAGTCAGGTTCTCCAGCCCAGGAGTGAGGATTAAAAGAAAAGAGACAGACAAAATTGCAGCATGACCCCAGCCAGTTCTGAGGCTGAAGGCAGGTTTGTTTAATTCAACTTTTCTTTGAAACCCTTTTAATTACATGCAAGTATTTAGGTCAGTTCTAGATTGAGGAACCAACAATACAATAGATACAAACAGTCAAGGAACAAACAAGGCAATATACAGAGTCCCGTGATCACTCTCATGATCAATGGTTCGAAGGTCTCATCAGGATGACAAAATATCTGAGCCTACTTCCTTGTCCTAGCCCACAGTCATATTCATGCCTGAGGCTTACCTCTTTGTTTTAGCCTAAGACTAGGATTCCTGACTGAATTTACTTCTCCATTTTAGCCTAAAATAGACTCCTGGTTGAACTTAC